ATTTCCATATTTTCAAATCTATTCTTCAGTTTCTAAATTTTTCAAATCCCTAATTTAAAATTTAAAAGTTGCCCCATAAAGAGTGTCTAGTTACGCCGATAATTGTTGTATTAAGTAGTTCAGCATGTGTAATAATTCATATTTTTAATATTTAATGATTCAACCGACGTCAATAGTTAATTCATTGAATTAATCATTAAACAGTCTGCTTGCATTTGTACTTGCAACGTAATAGTTGAATACTAATTGTATTTTTTCCTTTACTATCAATTTTATTGTGTTTAATTTTATATAGAGAAATGCATCTAGATTGTATCAAATGTTGTGCGTTTTAAATCGATATACTTGAATCTAATATGTTCATGATATCAGGTACTCTGATTACGTAATTTAAAATACAAAATAAATGTGGATTACTTTGATGTTATATTAGATATTTCAAAATTAGGAGTTAAAATCATTTCTTTCAACATCACTACTTTTAATACGCCATCCAGAACTTTTTATATTATTTTTACATAAAAATTTCAAAATATGCATACTTTATTCGGATACCCTGTCCATTTTGTCACTTGCTTCATTTCAACATGTCATAATAAATAAAAGTTTATGGACATCGATGTGAAATTTCTAAAATAAAATAAACAAAACTTTTCAAAGTAATTTATATATAAATCAGTGTTCTAATCGAGTTAAAAATTTAGTATTAATTTAGTAAATTAAATCTTCATAATAAATGTCTAGAATAAAACTACATTGATCAAAATAATTGAAGAAAAATATTATTAACAGATATAAACAAAAAAATAAATTGATAATGCACCACACAACGATGTCTACCTGGATGAGTTACCTATTTGAATACAAAATTATACGTATGTACAAAATTGAAAAAAAGTGAAGACCTATTAGTTATTTCTACGCGTGCACATTCATACATGTTATCTGAAGCAGAAAGATCGATTTCAACAGAAATTTTACACGAAAAAAGATGCAACGAAAGTGGAATTTACAGGTTTGGATAGATGTGGACGTTTCCACGTGAAACACATTGGTCGCTATTTCCTTTTGCCACGATAAATGGCTAAAACGATATGGATACCTGTAAATTGTCCTCTGACAGCATTTATCTAAAGTCAGTTTTAATTTACATCCTTTCAACACAAGACTTTGTTATTATTTTACAATATATGACAGCTTGTTTTAATAGAAATTTAAAAGCGTTTAAATTTGAACGTTATTCGATAAAAAACCATTTCAAAGCTATTAAATAAAATACAATTTCAAGACTGTGTCATAAAACACAATATAAAAGTTATTCGATAAAGTGTAATGCAAAAGTTATTAAGTTAAAATACAATTCCAAAATTATATCATAAATCGCAATATTAAAGTTATTCGATAAAGGGCATTGCAAAAGTTATTCGATAAAGCACAATATCAAAATTATTAATAAAATACAATTTAGGAATTCTTCAATAAAATACAATTTAAAAGTTAATCAATAAAGTGCAATCTAAAAGTTATGCAATAAAATGCAATGCAAAAGGTACTCAATAAAACACAATCTAGAAGTTTCTAAATAATTCATTTTTTAAGAAGTTTGTAAATAAAGTTACTAAATAAAATCGCATTGATTCTAAAGCACTATTTTATTTAATGAAAATAATACATTTACGAGAATTTATTCGGGAGACAAAGCGATGAAAACACTTTTTCCGTTCTAAATTTTGTAATAAAGATAAACATTTATGAATAATGCACTAGAAACATGTTTTGCAGTCGTTTCTCTTTTAAACAAATATGGAAGTGAAAATTTTACGGCGGAACGGGACAATTTAAATTTATTTACTGTTTTATTGTTTTCATTTTGTTCTACATGAGTCACTGGAATACGCGATAGTATGCTTTCGTCCGCCATATTTTTCTTTGCCGGTTTTATCGTCACGTTGTGTTCATGGAAATGAAAGCAAATAGTAATTTTATTTTCAGTAAAGCTGGTTGACTTTTTTTATGATGTTCAGTTTCTTTACTGCATAGTGGGTTTGCCAATAAAATGTGTACACAGTCCATTAAGTATTTTAATAGGTAAAACAAATAGAGGGTATGTTGACATGTGTTCTATTTTAAAGTTACAAATTTTTAAATAATCATTAAACGTTACCATCACCTGCCATTTATTATTTTTATTATCATCTTTATGTTTGACGGTAATACTCATGTACGTATTCCATTAATTCATTCTGTGAATATATTTTTTAACAATTAATAAACTTTTCCTTCATCCATCATCATATCTATAAGATAAAAATATAGATTTAGTGCGAAAGATATGTAAAGTATCAATATTTTCTTTTATTAAAGAATTAATTATTAAAACTGGAATATTATACAAAATATTGAACTTTCTTGCTTCTTAATATTTATTATACTTTATTTCTGTACATTTTATTTTTGAAACTTTTTACTGTTTAATTGCTAAGTACGTACTGGATAGTAAAATATAAGTTTGTCTTAAGATAAACACCTGCAATTAAAAAATTAGTATAATTGAAATTGCAAAAAAAATTAGCTTAATTAATTGGACATAGAATATTAAAAATTGTCTCTATCACAGATATGCACCTTATAAAAATTAAAATTAACATCTTAATGAAAATAAGTAATAATAATTTTGATGTTATATTCATTTGTACTGTTACCATTATTATGTTATAATTTAATGCTTATCGAGTCAAAGTGAAAATACACTCACATCTAATTTTACATCCACTTTATTATCAGTACAACAGATACATTCGAGGGTAATTTTTCAAACGTTATTGACAACTTTTTTAATTCTAAAAATTAACTACATCTATGTAGAATATAAAGTATAACTCTATATTAAAATCCCGGAATAATATTCATATTGTAATGAATTCATCCATGTTACATAAACAGTCTACACACATAAACGTTAACTACTTCTTCCTTTCAAAATTATCGTCAAATTATTTTTAACCCTTTCGCTACAATTATCTGTATTAGAAAATGCTTTCGTATTTTACTAAATATATTGTCCTCATATACATACAATCATAAGTATATAAAATTTGCAACGAAACATTTATACATTCAATCTCATCAAAAAACTTTCATCGCACGCTTGCTATTTTCATACGTAAATGCTTGGTATCGAACGACTACGTTCTTGGTGGCAAAAGGGTTAAAACGGGCAAAATCGCGTGAAAAATTCATTGCGACACGATTCAATTTCGATACACGACAATTTTGCGGTTTCCGGCCACTCTCGGTGAGTGGAGACCATGGAAGAACGTGCACAATTATGGGTCGAGACCGCAAGACGATTTATTATGCACCTTTCGACTACCATTTAAATGCAAATGCCTTGATTACCCCTGGTGCTAATTGCTACGTGTTAGCTCGTCTGCGAATCGCGAATTGCCGATGTGTTTTATGCTTGCAATGAATATTATTGGTCTATAATAATTTAGAGAAAGAAAAAGAAACGCTGCTACTGTAAAAAAGTAATTTATCTGACGGAAAAATGAGATAATGTGGTATAAACGACGAAAATTATGAGATCGCTGATAAAATTGTGTGAAATGAATAAGAACGAAAATGGGCAGAGATAATTGAGACACAATAATACGTTGGTATTACGGGATTAAAGTTTTAATTTAGATAACTGACTAAAGGTCTTTCCTTTGTTACATGGAATATTTTTGTAACTGTCTTCGAACAAAAAGGCGGAAAAAATTTTGATAATTTTTGTTGTACTTTGCTATAAATTTAACAATTGATAATATAAAAAGAGGGCTATAATGCAGCACCATGTAATTTGCATATTTCGAAATTTCTAAGTAAGCGTTTAAGAATTTGTAATTTCAAGAATTTGAACATTTTTAGGTTAGGTTATAAAATTCTTTGTGTTTAAATTTTTTTAACCCTTAAGGTACTAAGTTTCTATGTCCATGCATTTCTAAATTTCAAAATATATGAATTAAAAAATTTTTTTATTGGAATATTTGAAAATTTGTAACGTTAAACATTCAAATGTTCATTATGAACATTGACAAATTTGGAAATTTTTTAATTTGAAAATTGGTGATTTCAAAATCTATAAATCTGAACATTTGTAAATATCTGAATTTCGAAATTTTTAAATTCTAAAATTACTACACTCTAAGGATTTGTAAATTTGTATATTTATCATTTGTGAATTTGTAAATTAGTAAGTTTGTGAATTTGTAAATTTGTAAATTTGTAAATTTGTAAATTTGTAAATTTGTATATTTGTCATTTGTGAATTTATCACTGTAAATTTGTAGATTTGTATGTTCGAAAATTTTTAAATTTATAAATTCGCGAATTTGTAAATTTCTAAATTTATGAATTCGTGAATTTGTAAATTTGAAAACTTGTGAATTCATAAGTTTGTAAACCCAAATTCGTAAAATTATAATTATATAAACTTGTAAATTTAAAATTTTTATATTTTCCCATCAATTTTAATATAAAGAAAAAAATGATTAAATTTCTGTAGATATATCTATGTTATCTCTTACAATTTTATAATAATATTAAAATATTTCGTGACATCAATATCGTATGAATTCCGTTTAATTAAACTCGAGTGAAACATTTCCGTCCATCTTCTGTAGCAATATCCCACAATGCAGTGAATAAATAGGTTAATCGAATACCAAACTCAATTTCCTTGGACCTAAAAAAACAAAGTCAACGAACGAATCGATCATGCTAACCTATAGCTACAAGCATTTTGCGTCTTTGTGTTTCGCAGACCTGATAATTTGATTTTGAACCGCAACTTACTAGTAATCGCCCTATTTCATGCTCGACAAACGAACGCTCACTGGAAACTGTCTATCGCTGCAGCAACATCGCAACTCGCTTCGTTTCATCCGATAACCCATCAGTCACCCATAAATTTCTCCATCATCAATTTACCGATGAAAAATCGTTTCTCTTTACAGATTACCAGATCGAGTGGGGGGGAAAATGGATTTCTGTGTTCCGTCCAGACGTCGAGTGCACCAACGGCATCATCCACGTGATCGACGAGGTGTTCTTGAAGGATAGCGACGTCAGAGTGACCGGAACAGCGTCGATCACCAGCTTGGCACCGCATTTAATCATGATCCTGGTAGCCAAATGGCTGCTTTAAGGGCGAATCTCTACGAGTTTTGTCATAGGTGCACCTAGGAATTTGTTTCGGGACCGTTTCCGATCGTCCATCTCCAGGAGAACGCTATATACTGGATTCCGACTCCAACGTGTTGGACGAACGATCTTCAGGATCGATTACGTCCTCGAATGATGTTGACTAGTCCTGAAGTTGGGTCGAGTCCGAGTTCTCTGAGCTGCGTAAACTTCGAGGGTATCCTCGTTAATGACCCCCTTTACATGTGTTCTCTGTTAAAATAAAAAAAGATACAAAATCGGAGACGCGATCGGAGATGATCCTGAACGAAGCCACTCCAGGTCCAGGCCCTTGAGCTGATCGTCAATGAGGATATCGCGATCCTCGACCAGACAAGTGCCGGACCGATAACTTAAGTGGTCGAAGCTTAACCTGGAAACGTACTACTTAGCGGTTTCAGCAGTCGAATTAATCGTCGTCATTAAACGGTTCGCTACGAACGAGCTGGTGTTATTTACGTAACGATAGGGATCCTTTTCATTTGAAGTTTTATCGTATCGATGGAAACAGTCGGGCTGTTGTGGAACGTCCGAGGATTTGGAGTCTCGTTTTAAAGGAAAAGACATTAGGGACGATTCCGTAGCTGGGCCCGGACTGTTTCCCCGGTGTTTAGAGGCGCCAATGATCGTACCAAATAATTAATTAACCGTACCAAGTAATTTAGAGAAAGTCACGAGCGAGGGACGAACGTGGAGGCAGAGCTGAGATTTCGGGGAACCTTCTTCGAGTACTAGGGCGACGGGGATGGCTTTTTTTTTAGATTTATTCTAACTGGTCGACGCTTGTTACTCCTCTCGTGTTCTGATCAGATCTGGACATTTCGTTTGATAAACCGTTGTTCGAAATGTCTCCATTTGAAAATTTTGTTTGAGACGATAAATTCAAATAAAGTATTTCATTGTATTTTTATTTTCAATCTGGTAAAGGATGGAATTGAAGAACTTTATTTCAAGAAATTATTAAGGATTGATCAACTTCTTTTGCAAAAAATTCATTAAAGATTTGGTATGTTATATTGGTTATGTTGTAAAGTCCCATTTAAGTCAAATATTTGAATTATTGTACTTATGATAAAATAATTTAATTCTTAATATAAACAGGAATATAAAATTATAAAACTCATGAATTTTATAAAATTTAATAATTAATAAAACAGGTTATCCTTATATTTTCATCGTTTTTATTATAAATGTAGAATTATTGTAAATTTCTTTCTTATTTAAAACTAATAACATTAAAAAAAATACCAATTCTGTGGTTACCTAATAAAACCGTAATGTTAGAAAAACAGTTTTCATAAATTTGAGATAATTGTTTATATTAAAAAATCTGATTGAATATTCGATTAAAAAAATTTGTTTAATTAATTGTTTATATATACTCAAACACTTGAATGATTTTTTGAGTAATTTCTTGAAATAAAATAACACAATTCTCCATGAAAAGTAATGTCATAAAAATGTCGAAATCTGATCGAACGACCTAGAAACTACCGCGAAAGTTCATCGAACACCAAACGAGGATGATGTATATCCTTTCTACGCTGATATTCGAGAATTTAGCTCATACTGTCCCATCGAACGCTGTCGATATTCAGGCCATAAGTTTCGCCTAATTATGGTACTTCGATTTCAATGACAATGACACGCTATACTTCTGTGTGTATGCGAATCACGTTGCGAGACACTCTTGTCACATCGTTAAAAATCTGAAAGCTGGCTCGACGATGTATATGAATATACAAAATAAAACCTCGTTCTCGAACATCCTGTCGACTCGAATGTGAAATCAATGAACACCATAAACACCGTTGTCTCTCGATGCATGATTCGCGACTGCGTTACAGGAGTGATTTCCGATTGCACTCGCTCTCTGTATCATATCGTATTACACTGTCTACTTACTGATCAATACTGCCACGTTTCACTGCAGGCTAAACCAGCGTGTGAACGAGTTTTTGTACAATTATTGTCGAAGGAAGCTTTACCCTATAGCGACTTTATCACATTCCAACGCATGTACAGACTTCTTGAACGGATCCTTTCGTGAGGAATTCACAAAATGAGATTCACTGTTCAATATTTCACCTGTATTTAAAGAAAATTTCGATTATTGAATATAGAGTGTCTCTAACTCTATTACAAGACGATATATGTTATTTTTAATGGCACGCAAAAATGTCAAAGAAGATTGTTTGATTCAAACAAACAAATATTTTAGTGAAGAACTTCTTTCAAGGACATATTTTGAAGATTTCAAGTTTGATGTTTCTTTAAGTGGGATTATTACTTGTATCTTCATGAAATTGATTAAATGAAGATAGTGTTGTTGGTCATTGGATTGGTTTTGGTCCCAGGTATGAAAATATGATCTTGAGAAACAGGTTCAATTTACCATAATATTTTTTTCTTCAAACAACCCTTCTAACATTTTTGCGTACTATTAGAGATTACAGAAAAATTGCGTTGTAATAAAATTAATGGAATATCCTGTATAAAGTAATAAAAGTATTGTAAATTTTAAGAGCTCATAGTACTCATTGAAATAAGTAAGAAATGTCTAATCAGTATACAGATTATGTTTACTAAGTGTTTATATAAATTTCAATTTTTGAAGTTTAGTAACTAATGTATCAGATCTTTGGTTAAAGTTAAATTAATTTTGTATATGATTTAGGTATCTTCATTGTGGTATATGTATAATATTTATAGAGCACAGATTTTAGTTATTTCAACAATTCATACAATTTTAAGTATAGTTAAAAGTTCAAAAACAGCGTTTTTGTTATTCTTGGATCAAATTTATACATATAAAAAATGAGTTAGTGAAATACTTTGCTGGAAGTTATTGAACTTTAAAGAGTCAAAATTGTAGTAATATTCTTTTCCATTGCTTTTGAGTTGATCTTGCTATACGTAACACTAATACATACAAATTTTCATGGTATATAAAATTTTGATTCTCATAAAAACTCTGTAAGCTGTTTTTAAACTTCTGTTTAGCTGATTAGAAACTTTTGAAGGGTAATGTACATACTTACAAATGTACATTTACCCTTCTTGTATTAGAACAAAACACTGAAATTGTTAATAATGAAATAACCATATTAATTATAATTTAGTATTATTCTGTAAACTTAAATTAATGGTACCTCTAAATCAATTCATATGTGTACATTCAATAAAAGAATATTAGTAATTGTAAAAATTGAGTTCATATTGAAAGAGTCATCTACAACATCTATATCACTTAAACATTTCTTACTTAACTTGACAAGTACTGTAAGCCTTTAAAGCTTCAGATATCTTTTTTGCAACATCTTGTATAAAAATATGACATCTTTAGATTCCTAGATAATGTCTTGCTATATCAAGTATTAAAACAAGTATTTATTTACAAACTTAATTCTAAGACATTACTGAAGAATAATGTCAATCTAAAAATTGAATTGTCAATAGTACAGTTTAATTTATTATTCATATTTTAACAAATTTTTCTAACATATAATATCTGTTTATATAATAAACATTTCTTAACATATAATACTTATTTTAGCAGCAAATAAAAGAGTTCAAAAAGAATGAAACAAAAGTAATTAAAACACATGTCCTATTTGGTCTCATTGCTAATATTCAGCATTTTTATTACTCTTTTATATACAGAAAAAATATTCCTGATATCTTTTGCATTTATTAAGTTATCTATACTGTCCGAATCATTTCAATTCACTCTCTTAGTTCAAACACTTGAAATACAATTTCATTGAATCACAAGTGAAGATAAATAAGTTATTCAGTATGCAAAATATAAGACTTATAACCAAACTTTGAACAGTTCGAATGTTTAAAATATGAAACATGTCTAAATTTATTGTCAATCTGAAACATTTATCAAACTCACAACTTCAATTATATAAGATAAAATTAAACAATGAACTACATGTCAATCATAATTTAGAATATATAAAACTTGTTCAATGTTGTTTTGACCAAACCGATTAGCAAAATCACTACAAAGAGGAATACTAATACAAAATATTGATCTGTACACATACATTCGTGGAACAAATAAGAGATAGTTTTCATTGCTTGATTTCTATTCCCAACGTGAAAATTCGTTCAAACAGTCTGTACGCGTGATACGTAAAATATTCGTTCAAAAATTCCTTGTTTTTACCGACTGTACAGTACTATATATACAATATATCTATACATATATATAGGATCATGAATGTCAACGCACCGTGTCAGGATAGAGTCATTATGGTTACTGCCGAGTTCATATTTTGGTTCGACCAACTGCACTTCAGTTTAATCCCTAGCGATCTTGTATCTCCTGTTATACATGATATTCTTTGACTAGAAAGTTTAACCCTCAACTCTTTCGATGGAGTCATACGGTCAATTAACAAATAACAGCTCTCGGTCTTCAGTTATTTTAAATCTTGTAATCTGTCAATTACATGTATTACTAATTTGGTGAGTGGACAAGGAATAATTCACTGGAATGTACACTCCATTGCAAGAATTAAGGGTTAATGTAAATCATCGGATATAATAAAAATGTTATGTCGTTTAATCAGTATGTATTATTATGAACATAGTTTGTGATAGTAAATTATCTGGAATGTTCGATTTTTTTTAGGAAAAATGGTGATATGGAAAGAGAAGGTTCTACCATTCATTATAACATTTGTAAGCTACTATTTAATATTTTAATTTTATTCGAAAGTTCAAATGTATAAGTATTTGAGTACGTGAATATTTAAACATATTAATTTTAAATCTGAATTCAAATGATTCGAATACTCAAATATTTAAATATTCAACTTTCAAATGCAAACTCTACTAATGTTTAAATGATTATAATACTCAAAAATTCGAATACTCAGAAATTCAAATACTCAAATATTTCAATTTGAAATATCAATCACATTAATTTGAAAAATATGAAAACAAAATATTCAAATACTGAAATTTCAAATCCAAATTCTACTAGTATTAGAATAATTCATTACTTTAATACTGAAATACACTAATTCTAAGTTCAAATTTAATATCCAAAATTGACTTAAAAAAGAACAGTATATTATTTCGTTATTAAATATTATAAATTGAATAATATAACAGCAATATATTAATAACAAAATAAATATCGAATACAATTATTTCGAATAAACAATTTACAAATAAACAACAATTATTTCGAATAATACTTAAACTACATCGCCATTTTAATAACACTTCTCTACGTCGCCATTTTTCATGTAAAAAGTCTACACTCCCCACTACATCAATTTTATTGCTCTTAGTTACTGTTTAATATGTCAGTTACTTTCAGCGATCGATAATTCGATATCAGTAAAAATTTCTCAAAAAGAAAAACTGTATTCTTAATATCATAAACTGTGTCCGTAATAAAAAGTCTGAAATACCATCGGATATAAGATCGCAGAACGGTTAAACCACAGACTCGAGATAAAAAGAAAGATATGACACATCACCGTTTCATTCCACGATAATTAACCGAGCAGCTAATCTGCGTGCGTGTACAATTAATTGCAACGATTGCGCGTGTCCTTGAACCGTTAAAAAGGCATAAACGCAAAGAACGTCGAAGAATAAGAACCTGAGTATTCGAAGTTGAGGAAAGAAACGCCTCGAAATTTCGTTTTTTCTTAGAATAAGTGTCGCGTGGCACGGTAAAAAGAGCGAGAGTGTAGTTAACCCAAAAAAACCCGCCGAAACTAAACAAAAAAAAAAAATTAGTCGACTTGAGCGCGATCGAGCTCGTTCCGATCAAAAATGAAAAACGAGAAATGTAATTAAGAATTCATTCAGCTATCGCAGTTTTTTCCGAGAAAATGAAGAAATAAAAGATTAATAGATGAATTCGATGTTATACGTGTTGATATCAGTCTATACATATATATATAAAAGAAGTATAAAAATAAATAAATAAATATATATATAAATATATAATGAACAGAGATATATTGACGAGGAAGAAAGTACGATTGAAAAGAAAGACGAGAGGGAACTGATGAAAATGAAAAGTGAAAAAAAAATACAGAAACACTATCAAAAGATACCTTAAAACTTGTTGTTGGGATGAATTAATATTATGAATGATTATTATTATTATTACGATTATTATTATTATTACATATATAAATATACATAAACTCTAATAAACACTGTTTGTTCGTTAGATGAGAACTAAGAAAAGATAAAACGGAAAAAAAATAGCGAAACTCTATTTCTTCGTGTAGATGCGTCTTAATATTCAGCTTGTTCAAAGCGTCACGCCGAAAATCGATTGTGTATTCGCTGTTGTGGCTGGGTTGTGAAAAATGTGTGAATGGAAATGCGAGAGACAGATTTTCGAAACTCAAATATTTGAAAACGTTCAGGAAAAAAAAACATCACATCCGAGGTTCCCTTATGTTCCTTCTGACGTTCTTTTTTTTCTCGGACACCTTATACTGGACTTTCGTTATATTGGCACGTGGAGGTTGCAAGTATAATTAAAAATTTGAATATTTGCGAGTTTACAAATTTTAGAGTTTGGGAGTTTGATGAGTAGGTTTAGAATTTGAGGATTTGTATTTGAGAATTTTGATGATTTGTAAATTCCTTTATATTTGAGAGTTCTTATTTTGAAAATTTGTATATTTTAATATTCTTGCATTTAGGAATTTGTGATTTTGAAATTAGGTATGTTTCTGATTTCGTCAATTTTTATGTACCTCAGTGCCTAAGTACTTAAGTACCTA